TCATCTTCCTTACACAGTGTTAATTTATCACTAGAATATGTCCATCCTGAGCAGGCTCTATGAAAAAAATAGTATTTAATCCTGTAGTTACATGGTAACATAATGCATGTACAAAGGGGCTGAGTTCAGGCTGACTTGAGGATATGACTTTGCAACCATAATAGTGTTTTAAATTTTGTGTGGCATTCCCGAAGCTTCAAAATGGAAGCCTCTATCAGACCTCCCAAGAATAGCAGGCCAATGGCAGAATTGCTGAAAGTTGCAGGTATCACATTGACATCTGCTGGAGAAAGCACCTTTAGAGCCTTTCAAGCCCTTATAATGGCCTCTGCCAAAGTGGCAGCTGGAGGGGATAGGAGTATGGATATGGGCCTGTCCTGTAGAGGGAGGAATTTGCTAAAGAATAAATCTCCTCCACCGTGTGTCCCAACCCTGCCTTTGGAAAGGAGAGTGTGTTGCAGTGAGCACAGTTTCTTTCCTGATTATTTGAAGTTTAGCTTCAGCTGGTTTGCTCCTCTCAGCTGCCCCATTCTCCTTGTCCACATAGTGCAGCCTCCAGTTCTCAGGATTCTTCATCTCATCCTATCTCCCTTGCCCAGACAGTCCTAGTCTCTCCTCTGCAGTCACCCTACCCTAGATGGAGTGTCATTTCCAGTTATATGAAGCTCCTTGCTGTTCTTTCCGTTTCTTTCTATACTCTGCACCAGTTTCCTCTAGTCTCTATCAGCTTTCAGTGATCTGCTAGAGGCAGATCTAAAAACCAAAAACCTTGTATGCAGTGCTGGTGAAATGCAATTGTTGTGTTTTGGCTGTATGGGGGTACATAAATATGTGTAATTCACTAAATGAATATATCAAACCGCAGGTGCAGATTTACAGGTGTTGCTGTTAGGGCTGTCCTCTCAGAAGTTAGTGAGCTATCATACTCTGGCTGCTTTGGAGTATGTTGCAGAGGCTCCTTTGAGGTTATAGTGTATATGGCTAAAGATTATATTTTGCATGTATCTTTAGTATACTGAGACTGCACACACCATAGGCATGGAAGGAGAGGTTATATGTGATGTGGGTGATGTTACACAACATGTGCTGCTGCAGAGTTTTGCAAGAGATGCAAATAGGAACCTGTCCTGACCTAGTGTATCAACCTGCCTACCAAAGAGCCAACCCTTTAAATAACCCTGGCTTACCAGCAGAGACAGGGAGATTGGATTCCTGTATCTGCAACCTGAGCTACCAACTGCAAGATTGCCTTCCTGATCTTTACAAGCCTAAAGTAGTCCTGCTGGCTTGTTAATGTGCGGTTAGCACGTAATAGATGAAGAAAGTGTTGGAAGGCTTAGGCAATGGTTTTGGTGTAGAAATTCTGAATTTTGGAGAAAAGTAAGCCTCTGTTTTCCAGCAAGTCATTCCAGATGGTAAGAAATCCAAGCAGCTGGGGTAATGAATCTGAAATTAACAAGAGGGCACAGCCTAGCAGAAATCTGGGCACAATGCCTTTCCTTGAAGGAGGGGCTGGAGAGAGCACAGGAGATACCAAGAACAATAATAAAAGGGACTATCATAAATCAGAGGGAGTAGGATCCATGATCGGGAGAAAGGAGCTGATTAAAGAACAGGCTGAATTGAAAGAGGGAGCAGCTGTAAAGTTCAGCACCTAGGATGGGCAGAATGGTGCAGCAGCTCTGCATCCACTTGGTGGAGCCAGTGTTTTGAAGGGCATTGCACATACCTCACAGCTATGAATGGAATAGACTAATTTCAGTTTGAAGGGACCCACAGTGATCATCAAGTCCAACAGTCTGACCACTTCAGGGCCAACCAAAAGCTAAAGCATGTTATTGAGGGCATTGTCCAAATGCCTCTTAAACACTGACAGCTTTGGAGCAGCGACCACCTCTGTAGGAAGACTGTTCCAGTGTTTGACCACCTTCTTGGTAAAGAAATGCTTCTTCATGTCCAGTCTAAACCTCCCCTGGCACAGCTGTGAACCATTCCCATGCGCCCTGTCACTGGATATCAGAAAGAAGAGATCAGCACCTCCCTCTCCACTTGCCCTCCTCAGGAAGCTGTAAGAATGGAATGCAAAATACCAAGGCAGGCTGTTTTCATGGGAGCGCTATTACACTTCATTCCAGTGCGAGCATGAAGCAGTAAAGAACTTTACATGTGCTGATGTGCAGTGGGAACAGGAACTAGCTGTTGTGGTCAAAGTAGAGGACTGGGAAGCCAGGTCCTTGGCACAAGCCTTTTCTGTGCCTCAGTTTCTCCACTTCCCTCCCTGCTGGAGGAGCAGAGATTGTAATGGCTACCCCACTGCAGAAAGGAGTGCTAAGCAGTAATAAGGGTTTTCAGTGTGAAACTCTGCCTGTGTTGATATGTCAGTGTCTGAAGAAGGACAAGATGTTGCACATGATTACTCCTCTGACTTGCTCTATCTGGGTTTCTGCTGCAGTGGAGAGGCTGTTGGGAGCCCCTTCCACAGCCCATGTTCCTCCACCCCTACCC